TTTCAAAGCATTGCCCTATCATTTGTTTTTATCTTACTTATGTTTAAAGAAAAAAATAAATTTCTGCAAATATTGAGAGATGGAAAATGCTGTGATTTATACAGTGCCTTAGTTACCTTAAAGGGGACTGGGGCCAGGGGCACTCATACAGGGAAGTTTCACACTGTTTTGAAGAAAAAGGGTCTAGCTGTCAACAATAATATTCTAAATATCTAAGTATTCTATTTGGCAATATGATATTTTTAAGGGTCTTCTGCTTTAAGCAGGTAGAAAAAAATCTTTTCTTTTTTTTTTTTTCCTTGAGGAGATTTTAGTTAGAAATAGGAAAATGATATTAATTGGAGAGGGAAATGGGGCTAAATTTCGATCCAAAAATTTGTGAAATGAGAGCCCTGTGTTTACCATACAGTACAATATCAGATACTTTCATTAACTGACAAAGAATCTATGTTGTTTAATCATAATGTGCAGAATTTCCGTGTGAAAGACAAACATGTAATATATCATGGAACAATTCTATAATTAAAAACAATTACAGCGCATATATACTTCTTCCATTCATAACAATTAACTTGCTGATGCTGATGAGAAATGTTTTGTACTGTAAACAAGATCATTTTTGCAGGTGTTTTTTTTGCATGTGCTTAACATACTACGTAAAAAAATAACATTTTCACTTCCAGTCTTTATGCAAGAGGGAAACCATTCTTTCAAAGTTCATCAGATTAAAACTTAAATGAAATATAATGAGTTTCTAAATCAAAGAAAGAAAAAAAAAATTTCATAACTAAAACACATTATACACAAATAGAAAAATAAAATGTACCACAAAAATAACCTTGTTTACAATAAACACACTTATATTTGTAATGGTTACTTGACAAATGAAATGCATCAAAGTGCAAAACTGTGTCCTAAAAATCTGAAAGCTCATGTCTCCTAGTACAGGTGTCCTCTGGGATACAAAATTCAACCGCGTCACGACAAAAGCAACATAGTGCATTTGCGACCAGCATGGATCCAGACCAGCCTGCGCATCTGCGCAGTCTGATCAGGATCCATGCTGTTTGCTATCAGTTTCTCTACTTGTTAATAGAGTTGGTAAGCGAACAGCATGGATCCTGATCAGACTGCGCGGATGCGCAGGCTGGTCTGGATCCATGCTGGTCGCAAATGCACTATGTTGCTTTTGTTGTGACGCGGCTCAAATGAAGAATTTACATTGGTATCAACACCTAAAAATATTCATACTTGTGACAGGTAATTTATGTCCTTATTTACAGTCAAACCTAGCTCATGGATTAAGTCAAATCTAGCACATGGATTAAGGTCATGAAATTGTCCCCATCTAAATCTAATTTAGAACTGTACCATTGTTTACATCAAGGATTTCAAGATCATACCATCAACATTACAGAATCAATGCTGTCAAAATGTAAACGTAATTATGTAGTCTGCCCAGGGTTTGAGGTTATCAAGAAATTCTCTAAGCTCAAATTCAGACCTCTGGTATTTGATTGGTCGGAAACTGCCGCACAATGTATATTGACCAATGAAAATCCTTAAATTTGAGACCAAAAAGTTTATAACCAGGCTCTTTAATGGTGACAAATCATTCTCTGGCAAATAGCGCAGAAACTTGAAAATTTTGGTTATGGACAAACATACATAATTGTTAGTATTAAAATGTTTGAAACCATTGCTACAAAGCTTTTTGACAATTAATTGATAAAAAAAACATTTTTTGAGTTCAAGTGCATACAGGACTAAGGTCTACTGTACCAATGACAGGGATCACTTTTAAGTAGGATTCGTTATTATTTTTATCATGTCATACAACATTCAATATCAAAAAGTTAAAACTAGATTTACTAAAATGTGTTTATTTATTATGGCAAATTTACGTGGTTGTTCTCAAAACACTCTCAAACTTACATGATGAAAATCCATGGTTAATTAATTCTCCGTAAACATTTTTACTCAGGTTTGACTGTACTTAAAGTAACATGCTCGGCTTGCTTTAGTTTCAGTTTACTCTTAAATGTTTTTCCGGTTTCTCATAGAAGATAGCAATGAAAATGAAATGAAATGAAAACCAAGTAGAAATTAGTGAACATTCTAACAATATTTTCTAATTTTTTGACATTTTTTTTCTATATTTCTTTTTTTGAATAAAAAATATAAATATACATTATTAGAAGTGAATGAGTTTGTGTCAATGCAAGAAAACAGAATGTTAAAATAATAAACAGCAATATGAACATTTCATCTGAACATTATTATGATACCCACAATGCAATGTTTTGGCATCCTAATTCAAATAATTAATCTGAGTAATTATTAAAGCTACTTTTCCGCATTTTGAGACATAACTTTATCCCACACACCCCCACCCCACCCCCTTTATATCTTCTAGTTTTAAAAATACTTATTTTTGTTTTAAACAGGTACCATTAATTATTTGGTAGTCTTAAAGTTTTTTGTTACTTTTGTTTTTATGGTTGTATTTTAGGTAACAAAAACACTATTAAGGTCATATATTTATATATATAGCCACTTTCCAGAAGTAGTATCAGGTGCCTCTAAACGAATTATTCAAGTTATAAGCTACCACCCAGGTAGAACCACAGACCTTAATGAGTGGCGGTGTGGCCAAGGGGTAAACATGTCGGACTAGTAATCTAATGATTACTGACAGTGTGCGTTCAAACCCCATTGGGGGGGGGGAGCTGTTGTTTCTGTGAGTAAGGAATTTTACAATGTGCAGGCCAAGTGCCGTCAGATCATGGTCTGTACTTTCTATTTCTTCAGAACAAATTTTGGAATATTTCCTTAAAAATGATAGGAATAGTTTTGTCCAAATTGAGAGATGGGCAATTTAAGACAATTAAGCCGCAAAAGGGTACAGATGTACAGCCACCAAAATTTATTTCTTCTTCGCCACATAAAATGTTTAAGAATAAAATAAAATCATTCAAAACGGTTCAATCAAACTGTAGAGGAGTAGCTTTAGTAAATTTCTCAATAGAAAATCTATTCAGCAAGAAAAAAAATATAAATTTATCACTGTTTTAAAGTAACGAGACTACTTAAATACACATACCAAATTATAAGGTACCTTTAATTATCCAATCATACAAACTATGATTACCTAATGAATTTATTAATGGTTACCCACTTTCCAAAAAACAAAGACCAATGAATCACTTTCCCTGATTGAAATAAAGGATTTTCCATTTTCCAAAATTTAAAAAATACAAGTTACTTGGACTTAACAAAAGTATCATTTAAGAATTGAAACTTGCAAATTCAAATAACTTCCCGATATTAAGCCGAAAATCTCAAGGTTAAAAGACCCTTTCATCCTAAAATGATATATGAACTTTATTTTCCAACATAACACAAGGTGCCAAAATCTATTATTGCTAAATTTTGTGACCAAACTATCAATTGTTTAAATACTCATAACAATGGTTTTCATCTAATATCTTTTGATAAATTCAATTCAAAACATTTTACCAGTAGTACTCATGCTTGTATTCATTTAAAAATTAAGTATAGAAAAAAAATAGGAGCATGTAACATAAAAACATTCAGCTTTAAGTAAGTCTTGAAGAAAATAAATGCCCTACAATTAACCCTTAGAATGATGTCCATAAATACCATTGCAGACCAAAGTCATGATCTGCACTTTTTGCTATTCAGTCAGTTTTTGTATAGAAATATTTCCTTAAAAATAATAAATGGTTTTGTCCAGATTGAAAAATGGACATGTTCCATTTAAGATATTTAGGGTGGTAAGGGATAAATATGAACCCTCAATATTTTTGCTTACAAAAAAAAGCCTATAAAGACTCATTTGGTGGAAGTGGGCATTTTTCTAGACTAAATATTTAACATATCCCCATCAGTTTGACCCAATAATCATGTAGCTGGCAGGTTTAAAACAAAGTATACTATTTATTATATACTTATAAATGAAATATTGAGAAATATTGATGAAATAAAATGCGTATTTTCATTTTCCGTATTTTCACTGTAAAAATTTATTTTTCACTGCAGTGAAACATATTTTCCGTATTTTCACTCAGTTTTTGTATAGAAATTTTTTCTTAAAAATAATAAATGATTTTGTCCAGATTGAAAAATGAACATGTTCATTTAAGCTATTCAGAGTGGTACAAGATAAATATAAACCATCAATTTTTTTGTTTACAAAAAAAAGACTATAAAGACTTATTTGGTGGAAGTGGGCATTTTTTTTTGGTCAAAATATTTAACATATCCCCATCAGTTTGACCCAATAATCATGTGGTTGGCAGGTTTAAAACAAAGTATACTATAATTTTTTTTAAGATAAAAAACTTCATCTTTTATTGTGCATTCTCATTTTTCTTTCAGCATGTCTTGAATGAATTTTTTTATTGCTACAACTATCTTTATCACACTGCAAGTTACTATTGCCTGACAGACTTAACTCCTCTTAAGAACTTTGCATTGCATGTATAGCACAGTAATTTATAGAAATACCTTTTTAAAAAAACAAAAATGATGTTATGAAATGATCGCCATAACCCATATGTAAACAAAATTACACAATATATTTTTGAGGCATGGCTTTTTTAACATGCATTTTCCAGTCAGAATCTCCATTTTTAGACTGGTTCATAAACTCAAAGTCAAAAGGTTAGAAAAGCAAACTGAAGTTTATAGAACCAGTCATGATAGGCAGCATCTGATTGGCTAAATTCAAAATTCATTTTTTTCGAAATGGACCAATGAAATGTTATCTCTCTTTATTTTATAATTGGTCTCCAAACTTTTTGTTTTTGTCATACTTGTGATTCAACACCCAGATCTATATCACAGATAATCAAACTTTTGTCTGTTCACTGTCTGAAAGTCCTTTTGTCGTCTCAACAACGGCTTTTGAAACTTTACAATGATAATCAAACTGTTTTTGTATCACAAATATATTCCATTTCCAATAATATTTTGTCTTTTCACTTTCATAAATGTTTTAACGCATTAATATTCTCTGATACTGTATACAATAAATACGTCAGCTCCTTTTTTTTCTTCAGAAAAGTGATCAGAAATCGAGACAGGCATTTGATGCCGCCGCCATTTTGTAAAAGCCATCTTCCTATATTACTCCATCATAGTACAACAACACAGAGATCACCCATCTATCATTCTAGCCTATAATCATTATTGGTGTGGCATTTCCGTCCTTAATCATGGAGACCTTGGCATTCTCACCATTAACTTAATATTTCGAAAAGGATCATTTTCATCATTATTTGCATTTACTTGTTTCTTTCCAAGTGCTTTTTTGTTTTGGTATATATTTTTTCTTAATTCCTTATTATCTATTATTACTCCCAAAATAAATTCTAAAACAAATTCTACGGATCTTGCTTTAAATTTCTCATATTATATAAATATGCCCTTTTCCCCATTAGAATGACAAATCTCAAACCTCTCAATGTTTTCACTTCTCTGTCTCAAAATAATATCCATAATCTCATGAAAATTACCTATATGTTTCACATAGCAGGGTTGATTTTTTTTAAATCCCATTTTCTTTCACATTTTATGTTCATTTTCACATTTTATGTCCATTTTATCACAATTCCAACTTTCCAATACCATTGACATATCCTGAAAGCTTTCTTCTTGTTTTCACATGCCATGTGCCAGTCATTCATATTTCATATTCATAACTTTCACATTTTCATTTAAAATATTTTCATATTTTAAGCTCATAACTTTCAGTTTCACATCCCAATTTTCACATTTCGTGTTCATAACCATCATCTTTCATACACAAACTTTTCACATTTATATCTACTACTTTCACATTTCATGTTCATGACTTTCACATTTCACATAAACCTTTACACATTTTTTTTCATATTCAATTCTTTCACATTTAATCGAAACTACTTTCACATATCCTTATCTTCATTTATTATCTCCTTTAAAACTCAAATGCCTTACTGCAGTAAATTGTAACTTTACACGCATCATTTTCGTGTCTGGGCTACTTTCGTTTTCAACCCCAATAAACATATTGTGCATACGAGAGACGTAAACTGAAACTTATGAAGAAAAGGCAATTTTTGTTTTTCAATAAATATGACTATTTACATAGTTTGCAATTTTTCATATTGCAACTTTTGACTAAAAGATGAAAATGAAAAATAGAATATATCACAATCTGCACGGAGTCTGATCGACTTGGTTCAAAACCGTTGTAAACGTGAAATCTATTACGAAACATCTACAGCAATTCCGATCCGAGCCATTTTTTTAGTTTTTGTGTCACTATCACAAGATGTCTGTTTGTTATCAACTGACTGGCTGACCGTGCAGGTATCGCTAGTCGTTAGGATGCTCCGGACAGGACCTGTTCTTTTCAAACCATTTGTCAATGCAACTGAAATAGAACGAAAGTTAGACATGCATTATAATAGTACTCATATTTCGGGTCCATTTTTTGTGTCTTTAAACAGTTTTATTCCAAGATTTAATGCTTATATGAAACGGTGTGTCTTATCAACAGGCCATTGGTATACAAATGTACTAAGCTTTTAAGGATTCTTATTTCAAACAAACATGGTCTCAGCAAAAAAGTGCCGATTTCTTCAACATTTATAGTGTATAGTAGGTAACTACAAGAAGAGGTCAACTTTGTTGCAACAATTTTTAATCGTGCAACAAAAGCCTCATATTACAAACAGGAACAGCTGCTAAATTTAGTAATGTAAGCATATCTTAAGATATTTTCTGGGATGATTGTAGCCCTTGTAAGAAAGGTATGTGCTCAAACTGCCAAATGTCTCATCAGAGTTTATATAAAACAGTGACAGAACTTATGATATAACTGCGAAAGAACTCTTAAATAACTGTCACTGTGATGGACAAAACTCATATATAACTGCGAAAGAACTCATATATAACTGTTACTGAAAAAAACTCATATATAACTATGACAGAACTCATATATAACTATAAGTGACCAAAATGCCACAGAAGCACTATTTTCCATCAGCCATGGTATTTTTGTAACAATTTCCCCGCCCTGGTGCACCTAAACACCATATAATTGGGAGAAAATTGCTGTTGATTTAAGCTATATTTGGCCGACCTCACACATCAAATCTTGTAATAGACGGTCAATTTTATCTGGCTACTAAATGAGGAGGTAAGAACTGTCATCGTGTAGACAGACTTTACTGACTGGCCTTCTTTTTTTTCTCCCATCTTTGAGCAATGCCACAAAATTTCTGCCAAGCTTTCTCTTTTTTGGGAATTATGTTCACAAATCATTAAGGCCACTGGGTTCACTTCCATTTTAAACGAAACCTTACGATAAAATCTCGATTAATAAAAATAAAAAATTGGCCGTTTAAAAAAAATCCAGAAAGATTAGATGTCTTCGACTAATCGCATTTTTGTGTGTGTGATATTTGTCTGTGCATATTTCACATGTGTGGAAGATGACAAGTTAGATTATGACACTAATATGTTTACAACCCATTCTGCAGACAATTCTGTATTTAAATAAGATTCAATCAATACGGTTAATAATTTAACACGGGAGTCTTACAAACTGAGACACTCGTTACGACCTTATTGAATTTCATTTTTTACATCCCAAACAACTACAGTTCATCGCCTTTTTTATGCAATCCGTCTGTGAATAAGCCATTAGCTGATGATTATACATACAAAGTTACTCACCAGCTTGGCATATGACGCTTCTATTCATAGTTAGTCATACCAGATTAATAATTTTGCTACTTTTCAGGAAGGATTAGAATTATTACAATAGACCATCAAATACGGTCTTTTGTAATTCAATTCTCTACTGAAGCCCATTTACCGAAGCATTTTCGAAAGAAATTAACCTAGATTCTAATTGTCATCACCTAAACCTATTTATTATTTTTGTCAAACATGAAACTGATAATTTCTCTAAATGGCAGAGATTTTGAAATATTTTGAATTTTCCCCTCAAGAAAATGGTTTTGTCCTGATTCATAAGACGGGCAATTCCATTTAAAATATTTAGCTTGTTCAGGGTTAAACCAAAATACCCAATGGAAAGTATACAAAATCCAGGACTCAAAACTTTGTAGACCTGCTTTTTCTTACTTATAACACAAGACTATTATACTAACAGACGTTGAAATATGAATTTTTTTCAGAACGGTTTAAATTAAGTTTTTTTGATATATATATGATAAGAACATGTGCTGGGATTGACAAATATACATTTTATTTGGAATTTAAATGTGTTTTCAGCTCCACATCCCAAGTGTCTGTATACTGTAACTGCTGTTTCTTTCGTAACAAACTTAACAAAAAAAATCCTAATTTTCTTAGAAAACTTGATACTCCATCCGCTACTAAACAAGTATAAACTCAAATGTCAATGCAACTCTAGCTTGCCTTCTGCATAGTTCCGAATTTAAAAATAAACTCCACAAAACCCCATACTAAATATGCACAGAATTAAATTACACAAATTTAGAGTATTGCCCAACAGTAATTGTGGAGAAAAGTGAACTAAAAAGCAATTTGCCCAGCAGAATTTAGTGAGAGAAAGCGCACTTTACTTCAATTTTACAGTGACATGATTCATTCATGTTTCAAATCTAGGACAACATGCAGTTTTATTTTCTCTGCTGCCGCAACGAGACAACGTCTGCTAACGATTTTACATTTTTCAAAGATAGCAGACAATAATGTAAAGGGTCTTGCAGATTGCTAATAACTATTGTAATAAATCTGACTTTGTTTTATTTATTTATTTTTTTTCGATTTCAGCTCTCTATACTGTTGGCTGCATGATTAAAACATTTTTGATACTTGGAATCCCTGTAATTACAGATGGACTGTTCCAAATTTAAAACAGGGGAAGTCTATTATACAAATTCTGGGTTAACAGAACCATTTCTTCACTATCTAATTATGTACCTTTACATTTACTGGATTTTAGATATTTGACTTTTATCATACAACATAAATGCATTAAATTCAATCTAATTGGCATCTGGAGTATCATTCTGTAAAAAAGTTAAAAAAAAACAAACTTTTGCACATTTGCTTAAAGCATAAAACACTTACAAAAATCATTTCACAAAAAGAGAAAATTTAGAAACTTTTATATAGGAACCTGCAAGACTAAATTGTTGTAAAGGTCATTTGACAAGCATTATTGCATTTTCACACTGAAAGTGTGTAGACAAAGTGAGCAAAATTTCAAGAACCAAGTACAAAATATAGTCATTAACTATCTAGTTAACTTTGTTTTGACTATTTTAACATTCAAACCCAGGCAGCAATAAAACTATTTTTATTTTTTCTCTGGCTTCTTCTGCATATTTATCATTTATTCAAACAGGAAAACCTAATATATTTATAACTAGAACTGCCACTATCATGGCGTGAATACCCCCGCATACCACTTTGTCAGAATCAACAGTGGCCATTTAGAGCTCAAGGACAACCTCCCTGCCAAATCTGAGGTTACTAAGCCAGTGCATTGCTAAGTTATGTATTCTACATGCTTCAAATGTGAAAATGTCAAAATCAATACATTGCGGACAGGATATTCTTTAACAATTGAGAAGAAAAGCTTTTTTTTTGTCAAGGTCCCTGTGACCTTGACCTTTGACCCAGTGACCTCAAAATCAATAGGGGTCACCTTATAGTCATGATCAACATCCATGCCAAATATGAAGACTGTGGGTCAAAGGAATCTCAAGTTATTGGGCAGACAAACTTTTTGAAGTCAAAGTCCCTGTGACCTGGTGACCTCAAAATCAATAGGGGTCATCTTCTAATCATGACTAACCTCCATTCCAAATATGAAGATTGTGGGTCAAAGGAATCTCAAGTTATTGGGCAGACAAACTTTTTGAAGTCAAAGTCCCTGTGACCTGGTGACCTCAAAATCAATAGGGGTCATCTTCTAATCATGACTAACCTCCATTCCAAATATGAAGACTGTGGGTCAAAGGAATCTTAAGTTATTGGGCGGACAAGCTTTTTGAAGTCAAGGCCCCTGTGACTTTGACCTTTGACCTGGTGACCTCAAAATCAATAGGGGTCATCTACTAATCATGTCTAACCTCCATGCCAAATATGAAGACTGTGGGTCAAAGGAATCTTAAGTTATTGGGCGGACAAGCTTTTTGAAGTCAAGGCCCCTGTGACCTTGACCTTTGACCTGGTGACCTCAAAATCAATAGGGGTCATCTACTTATCATGACTAACCTCCATGCCAAATATGAAGACTAAGGGTCAAAGAAATCTTAAGTTATTGGGCGGACAAGGTTTTTTCAGTCAAGACCCCTGTGACCTTGACCTTTGACCTGGTGACCTCAAAATCAATAGGGGTCATCTACTAATCATGACTTACCTCCATGCCAAATATGAAGACTGTAGGTCAAAGGAATCTTAAGTTATTGGGCGGACAAGCTTTTTTAAGTCAATGCCCCTGTGACCTTGACCTTTGACCTAGTGACCTCAAAATCAATAGGGGTCATCTACTAATCATGACTAACCTCCATGCCAAATATAAAGACTAAGGGTCAAAGGAATCTTAAGTTATTGGGCGGACAAGAAAAAACCGACGGACGGCCGGACAGCCGGACAAGCTGATTCCAGTATACCCCCCTTACAACTTTGTTGTGCGGGGGTATAAATACAATCAACTTTATTGTCACAGAAAAAACATGTGCCAATACCATGTGTAAAATTTGAGATCCATGGATATCTTGCTTTACTGTAGTTCAGCATAAACGTTTTTATTATGTATAATGGGTTTCTTAACCTTCACCACTGAAACAACCCATATGGGCAAGCATGATTTAGGTCATATGATGACTAAGGAGAAATAAGGGCCAAAGTTACCTTTCAGGACACTGGGGCCCTCATGTAAGGGAATTTTGCAACATTTTGAAGAAAAAGTGGGAAAAATTTATGTCAACAAAAATACTCATTCTGCTATTGTAACTACATATTGTATTTTGCAAAAAGCAAATTTCAATATGATATTGCGGACATGGGGGAATGGGGTCGAATTTCAGCCCCAAAAATCATGAAATGAGGGCCCCGCAGAAAAACAAGTGGGCACCCAAGTTCAACCGCAAATCCAGGATAGCTTTATTCTATGTATACGTACCCTTTATGGTAAATACAGAGACATGGTAATCTTGCTATAGTATCTCCCTGATCTAATTCATCAAAGCATATTACACATTCCCCTTTGTTTTCTGTTAATACATCCTCTGAAATCAATAAGACAAACAATTTGGTTTCTTAATTGCAACAATTATTTCCAATTTACAAACAATTATCTTCATAGTGAATGCAATATGACAGTGTTATCCTCAAACCCATATTATAAAAATACTATTTCCTCAATATATTCAAATCCTCAAAAAGAGCGTTCGGTAGGACAGCACACTCAACTATTCTTAGTGCTTGATGGAAAAAGAGCCTTGATAATGTAAATTTTTCTAAGTTCACATAAGGGCCAATTATTTTTTTCAAATCCATGTTACAGTTATAGGCCTTGGAGAGTCGGTCCTATTATGCTCTCAAAGAAGTTTATAAAATGTCAACTTGTTTCAAAGCCAAAGGTCAAAGGATTATGAAAATATCTGAGGTGGTACACAAACTTTAGTTGAAAAGGGGCCATTATTCTGTCAAAATACTTGATAGAGCTATCTCCTCCTGTGTACAGGTTTGGGGCATGATGGTGATCAGATGTGCAAAGTTTCAAAACCATCTGTCTATGGACTTTGAAATTATTTGAAGTTGTATACAAACTTTAACATAAGTGGTTAAGCCAACGATCGGGTGTCTAGGATAGCGCTTCTTATTCTTATCGAATAGTCGAGCTAAAATATCATACTGTGCATGTACTCATGGAAATATTAATGCTGTTCCTGAGAATAACTTTTAACATCAGTGAAAATAACTGATAATTGGTTTCATTATTTTCTCTAAACATTGTGAATGGAAGTCTAATCTACCAAATGTTGTCTTGCTGATTAACTAAATACAAAAATAAATCCATGTTTATGTTTAATAAAACATTTAATAGTGGTATATGTCTGTTTTGTAGGAACAAAAATTACAATGTAAAGGTATTACGGTGACTTTCCAGTTTTACTGGTTCAGGAAGATCTCGGTAGAACCACACATCTTCGGTTAGCTAGTTGGTTAGCTTCCTTGCATGAAAGATTCCAGTTTCGCTGATGAGATTTGAACCCACAGCAGTGAGGGTCAAGTGATTTGTACAGTGGTATAAAATAAAGGAAAGACAACACTCAGCAAAGGTCAGTTATCAACAATTTCTAGGCTAACCTTGGTCAAACCACTACCAACAACCTGTTGTCAAAAGATAAGGTCATAAATATACAGATAACACAGAAATATACAGTATATGATTATTTTTACCAAGTTCCTCTGGTTCAAATATATAAATTTTCAAGAAAGCAATTTTCTTTAATGGAAAATTAAAAGTCTCTTGTGAAGCTATTCAGACAAAATATTATGTATACTTACCATTATAAGTTATTCTTGGTTTTGTAAGACACACCACCAGATGGCATTCTATGTCGTCTGGCGAGATAAATTTGGAGCAAACCGGACATTTTATACCTGAAAAACATGAAACAAGATTCTGATTAATAAACATAATCACGTAATTCATATTCAATATACCTATAAACACAAGGATAATTGTGTTTAATACTTAGCCTCTTTAGATTTATTTTTTGGTGGTGGTACCCACTGGTTTGGGGATTAAACTACATGTACCAGTACTTGCACTTTTCAGTCTCCTAGAATCAGTATGCAAATTACCTTCTAAAACTGTGTATGTCTTAATAATTAACCTTCTGAATTTCAGTGACTGAGGACAAAAAGGTTTCTTGAAAGTGCCAAGCCAATTGGCATCTTACTCGTAAGGCTAAAACACCTAACCCTTCTCATTGGTGCAAAAAAAAAGGAGACTAGATAATAATTATTCATGTATATAATTTATATTCTATAGCTAAATAGATATTATACTGTACCAGAAACAAAACATTTATCACATAAATTGAAGCAGTTCAATGACTGTTGAAAAGGCCTATAAATGTGATATTCTAGTTAAAACAATGAATAACTTTTTATTTGTAGCTATAAAAAGAACCTATTAATGTTTAACATACATCCTCAGGGGCTTTTATCATTTCTGATGTTTTAAAATATTGAGAGATCTCGGTTTCTGATTGGGATTATGATGATGGTTGGGAAAGTATCAATACAAGTAGTATGGTTGCTTGACAAAATATGCTTGTTTATAAAATATCCAATTTCTGCTCAGTTATAATCGTTCATGTATTTATGTAACTAGTCATTTTTTAATACAAAATATGACCAATACTTATTTCTGGTTACTATCATTCTTATATTCTATATGAGCCGCGTCAGGACAAAACCAACATAATGGGTTTGCGACCAGCATGGATCCAGACCAGCCTGCGCATCTGCGCAGTCTGATCAGGATCCATGCTGTTCACTTACCAACTCTATTACAAGTAGGGAAACTGATAGCGAACAGCATGGATCCTGATCAGACTGTGCGGATGTGCAGGCTGATCTGGATCCATGCTGGTCCCAAACCCATTATGTTGGTTTTGTCATGGCGCGGCTCATATTTTATATTCCTATTTCATACACAATTGGCAACTGCATGAAAGCAATTTTCAGCATGCTTTTACCCTGAACCTATAATGTAAAGCTTCAAAACTTGCAAAATACATATCTAAATTTAATTTCAATTCGTTTATTTTGAATTCAGTGAATCAGGCACGATAAATTAACTCTGTTTACATAACAGAATGAATCATCATGGTTAAATATAGGTAAATATTTATTTCTATCAAACAAGAAAGTCTAACAACAACAATATCTGTTATATTAAACAAAAACACAAAAGTAAAATTCATTAATTTTTTCATCCTGTCTATTCATGCTATTGCTTATTGAAATAACATGTCATCAGTCAAGCATAAAGAAATTACTTGAAGTAACCTTCTGGGAGTAAACTAGACCAGCTATTTTCATATAATCATAGGCTGGTTTTAATAGGTGTTTAAATAATATTTACTGTTAACATTGTTAGCTTTACAAACAACTGAGTTAGTACATGGCCCAACGGCAAGTACCTTACCTTACGCAGTATCTTGCCAACTCTTATTAACCAATTTGTTTGTAAGTCATATTTTTTTAATTTTTGAGAAAATTGGATAAAATTCAAATGCTAAAGCAGACAACATTTTTAGTAGACATTCAACAATTTTCCCAGCATTCAAAGGGTTAAGATATTCAATAAATTCTGATTCCTTGGGTTTTTTTGTTGTTGTTGTTATTTTTTAGACTGGTTTTTACTACACACCAACACAATATAGGTCATATGGTACTGTAAAAAGAAGTTGATTCTGACTAACCTGGGTTGTTACAAACTTAAAGCAACACTATTTGTCAAAATCACCTCACCTGCTGGAGCTAATAAATACATAGACTCAAGTTATTTAAACCAATTTAGTCACCATAGATGGTATCGAGCAGGGATAAACAGTGGCTGCAACCATTAAAACCAACCCTATAGAAAGGGGCTTATTCATGGGTAATCAACATCTCTGTCATTAATGTTCAAATTCTGTTAGTGCTGCAAACAAATGTCTTACAGTATCTAGCCAATTAACTAACAATTAATTTCATAAACCACAATTATTTCCAGGCTTAATTCAGGTTTCTGCAAAATGATGAATTTTCCCCCAAAACAATTATAATGAAATATTCGAATGGAAATATCAGAAACAACTTTTTAGGTTTACTTAATTTGACTCCCAACAAAAAAAATAAGATAATGCCATAAACAACAAAATATTTCATAAGACAAATTCTGACAAACCTATTTCACAAAAATTTATTCTTTTTTTTCTAGGAAAACTGGTCAAGGGAAAATAACAATGCCTTATTGGCTACATCAATTATTTACTTGTCCTTTTGACATGGTGTGTAATATGTTCTAAATGACCATGACAGATCATTTCCCAGGAGAAAATTAATGCCAACTATTGTTATATCCCTGTATGCTATTATATGATATGCTAACATTATTCTGTGACCATGTTATTAAAAAAGGTTTCTAATCTGTTTCATGCTAATTTTCTGTCTGATCCCCAATATCAAGTTATAGTGTCTAAACCCTATATCCAATCAGTTTCATGCTGAATTTGTCTCTGATTCACTATATCAAGCCGTTTCATCCTGAATTTGTGACTGAACCAAATTTAAAGTTATTTTCATGCTGAATTTATTTCTGATCCCCTATATCCACTTGTTTCATGCCAAATTTGTGTCTGATCCCCAATATCAAGACGTTTCATGCTGAATTTGTGACTGACACAAATTTCAAGCTATTTCCATGCTGAATTTATGTCAGATCCACTATCAAGCTGTTTCATGCTTAATTTGTGGCGGATCCCCAATATTAAGCTGTTTTATGCTGAATTTGTGTTGGAACGCCAATATCAAGCTGTTTTATACTGAATTTGTGTCTAACACACACAATCAAACTATTTCATACTAAATTTGTGTCTTACTCTCAATATCAAGCTGTTTCATACTGATTTTGTGTTGGATCCCCAATATCAAGCTGTTTTATACTGAATTTGTATTGGATCCACTATCAAGCTGTTTCATACTGAAATTGTGACGGATTCCCAATTATATCAAACTGTTTCATACTGAATTTGTGTCTGAACCCCATTATCAAACTGTCTCATACTGAATTTGTGTCTGATTCAATATCAAGCTGTGTCATACATGTACCGAATTTGTGTTGGATCCCCAATATCAAGCTGTATCATACTGAATTTGTGTTGAATCCCCAATATCAAGCTGTTTCATACTGAAATCGTGTCGGATTCCCAATATCAAGCTGTTTCATACTGAATTTGTGTTGGATCCCCAATATCAAGATGTATCATACTCAGACTTTCTGTCTCACCCCATTATCAACCTGTTTCATACTGAATTTGTGTCTTATCTTTCATATTTCAAACCTTTCATGCTGAATTTGATATCCCCCCCCCCCCCGACTAATCATTTGAAAAGGACTTACACTGCATTGGATTTGGAGTGGTCAATTGAGATAATTACAGGAATTTCAAGCTCCCAGTATGAATATCTAAAACTTTGTAGCCAATAAAATCCAGTCCTGAGAGATAATGATCTAAACCCTTTTGTAAGAGAGAGGGAATAGTTCAGTTTAAGATTGTTCTTTTCAGGTGACTGCCTATGCAAAGAGAAACACCTCAGAGGCTTTTCCATCACCAGTGAAACCTGGAAAATCTGGAAAATTGCCACGTATTGCCACAAGACCTCAACAGTATTGGTGTTAACTTAAAATATTATTAATTTTCAATTACTTCTTAATATTTTGGATTCATGTAAGGAAAGTTACACTATCATAACAAAGTGAATGTCGTCCTCAATATCATGACATGTTTCACAGTCATTATTCTCACCAGCAACGATATGTAAATATATCGACTAATGAGCTATCACATGAGACAGGAATCATTCAGCTTCTATACAAAATGCTCTATCTGTGATCAGTCAGCACTTACAGAAGGACATACAATACATTCAACATGACATGACAAAATTCTACAGTGTCTGTATTGGTTTTGGATTTCTTGTTATTCACGTTTACACAAGATTTTATTCTAAGATGGCTTTGTGTTGCGTGTCAATTAACGCACAAATAAATGAAGAGATATGAAATCTTTTTTTGTAAAATTTGCTTTCTTTGCTTTGCAATAAATTTGATTCTTTTAAGTTGGCAGTATATTGATCTGTAAAATGTATCAAGACAGAAATCTCTTATCATGACTTTGAAAGTCTCATTTTCACACTGACTTTAAAGAAAGATCTATCTTCACATTGACTTTAAAATACTCATTTTCACATTGACTTTAAATAATGACATTTTGCTTATCTTCACATTGACTTTAATATACTCATTTTCACATTGACTTTAAATAATGACAGCTTATCTTCACATTGACTTTAAAATACTCATTTTCACACTGACTTTAAATAATGACAGCTTATCTTCACATTGACTTTAAAATACTCATTTTCACATTGACTTTAAATAATGACAGCTTATCTTCACATTGACTTTAAAAGTCTGATCTTCACATTGACTTGATTTCTGACTGGATTTCAAGAGAACACTTTCAGGTACATGAACATCACAAAAATCACATTTAAGAATGGGAGATAACAAAATAATTGGGATACTAAAAAAAATTGTACTTGGATATAGAGCTTTTTTAATCTCAAATATTTGGAAGACGTGCCTCATAGCCTTTATAATTATTGCTCAAATTGCTGAATTGGGAAAATAAGAAGCTGGATTAATCTGGTAAACTGCACAATTTTAAAGAAAATTTATATCGGAAAGAGGCATTAAAAATTGCAGGCCTCTGTTATCCCCTATGATAAGTTATATACTGACATGCCTTTAATCCTCGCCTTTCTTCTTCACCTGATTTAAGTGAAGGACTTCCTTACAATGCATGGTAAGTTAGAAGATTTGTAATATCAAAATAGTGAAAATACTGAAAGTGAGAAGATATCAGTGGCAAGATACTGAATAAATTGTACAGTCTGACATGTGAATAAAGGCCATCAAAGGCGTGACCATTATGTGGCCTATAAAGACAAGTGGTCTTTACCTGGAGGTAATATAAAATACCTGTTGTACTTTTATCAATCAATCTTTGTCAAAGAGTAGTGTTTATTTACCGAGCGGTCTTTAACATAGGTCTGCCTGTATTTCACTTTCTTCTTCAATTCTCATGACAGTCCAGGGGCATACATGTATAATGTAGGCTTTATAGCAACAATTCTTTAGGTACTATACATTAAAATAACTAAAACAACATACCAAGTATGAGTTTCTTTTTTACCACATTACCACATGTTGCATAGATTCAAATCATACAATTCTAAGGCTGAATTAATTGTATTATCAACTCTGCCACTTTACTCAAGCATTCACAGTTAACCTGATTTCAAGACAAACCAAAGCGACCTAAACATCCCACATTTTCCCCAAAATTTAGAGAGTGTAAAAAATTCTGAAAAAGTTGCGCTTACAGAATTTCAA